CCACTACAATTATCCATATAAAAACTGCCTGAGGCTCCAAAACGCTACCTAATTTCTCGTTTCAATGATTCAAGTAGTCCGATAATTTGTGTAATTAAGGAAGAGATTAATAGCACAGAAACATTCGTAGAAGTTGTGATTTTACGTGAACGTTCTAGTCAATGAATTCACTCCTTATCGTTATTGATTTAGAGATGTTATACCTCAACGTTACTATCATTTCTTATGTTTGTACGTGTTTTTCCCCTACTGCTCATCTATCATGCAACAGTGGAATAAAAAAATTAATGTTTTGTTAAAAGGTATAATTTAGATTAGAAATCGTCTCCACTTATCTGAAAAATATTTGCCAACACTATTTTTCTTCAATATAAAGTCATATTACAGAACTAAATGCCATACTCCAATTATTTACCAGATTCCCTGGAAGTGTATGTCAGCGACTGCCCGTTTTATAAGCAGCCCGCGAAGTTCTGCCCAGCTTGGGAAAATTTTTAAGCACTCTTTTAATACAAACTATTTCATTTTTCTGTTTTGATCATACATTGTGATCAAGGGAATCTTATTTGGTTTACAGCTTAAAAAACTTTGAACTTGCCATCTCATTTTCATCTTTTGAGCAGTCACCACCATTAGGTTCTAAAACGGTATGATGATTTCCAATGTAGAATGCTTATAGCGTATGTGCCCTAATATCAATCTTCTATTGCGATTCCGTGGCTTTCCCTGGCCAACTAGGAAATGCTTTCAAGTTGTGGTTTTAAAAAATGTACGCCCTTAATGCACTTGAATCGCTGATGTTACGCCATAGGCCTGTAATGAGGCAAAAGTAAGATCCTTCCCGTCATGCGCTTCCCGCTTGTGCATCCTCAGGGGAGAATCGGAAAAGCGGCCAGGGCTTTGATAAGGCAGGTGGAGCAGGCCACAATATTCGCACAATTTACGCCCCGAAATGTAAGGCAACGATCGACCTTGTGTTTACAAAAATATTAAAAGAACATTCCTCAATATGGTAGCGTTAA